CTAAGCCCTAAACCCTAAACCATGAATGCTTGGAGCTGTGGGCTGTGACAGGTTACAAGGCTTCAGGATTTAGGGCCTGTAGAGGGTTTAGGGTTTGGGGTTTAGGGGTTTAGGGATTTAGGGATTTAGGGTTTAGGGTTTAGGGTTTAGGGTTTAGGTGGCTTCGGAGTGCAGGGTGCAGGGGCTTACGGTTCGGGATTCAGGGTTTAGAGATTGGGGTTAAGTGTTCAAGGTTCATGGAATAGTGTTTCAGGATTTGGGGTCGGGTATCGGTTTCACTCTTGCGGTCGTAGAGTGTTCGGTTTTGTAATTCATGGCGTCGGCTGTGTGGATTCTGCGCTCGGATCACAAAGGGCCTAACCCCATCAACCGATCGAATATCTAGAATGATGATAATCACCATCGTCGTCATCACTTGCATCAGCATGATAGTAGAACGTGATTATAAAAAAAAACTGTTCTGGGGACCGTAAGTCAAACAATCCATCATATTCGTGAACTCTAAAAATTGTTAACCATAAGGCAATTATTCTACCTGATGTCCAGTGGCTGGACCTTGGGGTGTGGTGGGAACTTCCGACAGATTCCAACACATGGACCTGCAAAGTCTTTACTACAGCATGGTCTTGAGTTTAAGGGTGCTGATGAGTGTCCATAGGACTTTGAAGGGTTTCGTGCAATAGGTGTGGAGTGAACAATGAGTCGGCATTTTTCCCCAGAAGTCCCTTGTCGGTCGCATCATATATTTGCCTCACTCAGAGCTCTAATGATGAAGGCTGCTATATTGCTCCTGACGCTGTGCGCACCTTGCAGAGCTGCAGTTCCCCGGCCACCGGCTAAGACAGGTGTCCTGAGTCTGAACTTAACCATCAGCAATAATGTTCATTTCTGGTCTCTGTATATTTACACGACATACCCCAAACGCCCTGTTAAAATTATGAAGGCCCCGGGAATTAAGGAAGGAGCTAAAAGAAGTATCTCCGACTGAAGGCAAGATCGCAACAGAGAGTGCAGGGACACTGGGCGGAATGCCTGGAACCCGAAGCCTACAACCCCAACGTGGCCATGAGGTTGCAATAATTGCTAGTCGTACCTCCCTCACCAAGCTACAAGCCCCAATATACCTTCAAGAGACCGCAGGATTACTGGACGGGGCTTCCCGACAACCCACCAGAAGGACCCTGCCGGTCTGAGACTGTCGTGCGACGGTAAGCAGAAAGCCCTGGAGAGCGCCCTTAGCTTTAAATCATAGGGACCCTTAGGTGGGTAGGGGGAGGGGGGTAGGGGGCTATACAAAGAGGCCTTATTAGGTCCTTCTTACGGGTATTAAGGGCCCCTACTCCCCTCCCCCTACCCCCCCTCAGCGTCCTTAGCCTTCAAAAAAGCATCACACCTCATGATCCATAGAAGCCCGGTCATAACACTGACGTTGAACCCAAAGGCCCTAAAGTCTGCACCCCACCTAGGCTACAATCCTAACCCCTAAACCCTAAACCCCTAAACCCTAACACACTGAGGCAGCCTTTTTTGTTGGGCCCCATGCTTTGTTTGATCCTGTTATACAGGGCTTGCTGGGCCTTCTGGGCTTTGGGCAAAGCCTCAGCTCTGAGACCTGGCCGGTTGATGATATTACTGCATTACCCGTGGTTTAGGTTTTTGGGATTTAGGGTTTAGGGTTTTGGGGTTTAGGGTTTTGGGTTGAGGGTTGAGGGTTTTGGGGTTTAGGGTTGAGGGTTTTGGGTTTTGGGGTTTGCGGTTGAGGGTTTTGGGT